TACAGAAACATCTCTCACCTTGTCTTGGACCAAACCTAAAAGCACAGTAACAGGATTCAAAGTTACATACACCAATTCTGCAAACGGTACTGTAGGGGGTTATAACACTTACTACGTACTGTGTTTATAAATTCTTTGCTTTGTGACATGGAGTATACTTTTACTTTTCAGGGGTGACAGGATCCATGTCTGTTGACTCACAGTTGTCCCATGTTCTCATTTCCAAGCTCTCTGTTGGTTCCCGGTATGAAATTAGTGTCAGGTCAGTTATGGGAGCAATAGAGAGTGAAGCAACCACAGCCTCAGTTGTTACAGGTACACAATATGTCAGGAGCTTACATGTTTATAGTTCATCAGCATAACTGTAGTGTTAGTAGGTCAACTGTAAACATCCATGTGTCCTTTCTAGTACCTGACTCCCCCACTGACCTCCAGGCTGTGAATGTCACAGACAGTAAAGCACTGTTGGTATGGAAGCCTTCTCAAGCTAAAGTCGATCATTATATCCTCAGTTATGGATCTACAAGATGTAAGTCGTGTTCATCTTTGGTGTTTTGAACTATCAGATGATGAGCTCTCATATCTTGTTTTATTCCTTATCTAATCAAGTATATTTCTAATTTTATAGCCCCTAATGTGACAGTGACAGTGATGTTGTGTGGCACTTCTGTGGAGCACCAGCTCAGAGGTCTACACAGATCTACACTCTATGCAGTGAAGATCATGAGCCAAATCAACAGTCTCCAGAGTAGCTCTGTTTCCACAACCTTCACAACAAAAAGTGGTAAGTCAGAACATCTGAATAATTACCCATCATCCACAGAGCATTAAAAAGTACATTTAGTAAACATCAGATGCACTTTGTTGTTATCTTGGTATATGTTGAACATTTAAAGCCACATTTCAATAGTTAGTGAGGAGCAAGGCTAGTGGTTATTGAACAGTAAACAAAGAACTCTTTCCAAAAATATGGATCTTAAAAAAAAAACTTTAAATTGCTTCACTTTAAATTGCTTTGAAGTTGCTGTGTTGCATCCCCACCACAGCAGTTATTTTCTTCTGCACATTTTAGTTGATGGAGTTATGGAGTTGATGGAGTTATCATGTTTTTTATGTTTTTCAGGAGTAAAGCTTCAGGTAGTGACACCCAGTGAAGTCACCTGGAATTCAGCTTTGATTTCATGGAAGACCACTCTTTTATCTTTCAGAAGCTATAGGCTTACATACCAAGTTGGAGAAGAGGTTAAGGTAAGTATACTGGAAATATAAATATATATGGCCAAAAGTATGTGGACACCTGATCATCACACCCATATCTGCTTTTAGAACATTCCCATTCCAGATTTAGTCTCCCCTTTTCTGCTATAATAACCTCCACTCTTCTGGGAAGGCTTTCCACTAGATTTTGGAGCGTGGCTGTGGGGATTTGTGCTCATTCAGCCACAAGAGCATTAGTGAGGTCAGGCACTGATGTCAGGCGAAGAGGCTTGCGGTGCAGTCGGCGTTCCAGTTCATGCCAAAGGTGTTCAGTGGGGTTGAGGTCAGGGCTCTGTGCTCTGAGTTCTTCCACACCAACCTTGGCAAACTTCAGGTGTCCACAAACCTTAGGCCATATAGTGTATAACACTTATACCTTAGCTCTTCTATTTTTTGTCTTTTTTAAATAAATATAGGTGCTCACCTCTGTATCCCTGTCACATGTCCATTTACCAAATGAGCACTTGTCCAGCTTTCTTGGGCTTTTAAATGCTGTAATGTAATCATATTAGCTACAGCTTGTCTTCCTTACATGAACAGGAGGTGATCCTAAATCCAACTGTGTCCCAGTACGAGTTAACTGATCTGGTGGCATCTTCCCACTACACTGTAAAAGTAGATGGAGAAAGTGAGGGGCAGTACATCAGTGTCGTTTCCACTGCATTTACAACAGGTGAGCTGATCACTCTTTCCTGTAAACCCTGGCCTCATGCATGCATGCATGCTAAGTCTGCCACGGTCTCTACCTTCTTCTTCTACAGCGCAACTGCCTTACCCATACCCAGCCGAATGCTCCCAGGTGCAGCTGAATGGCATGAAGAAGTCAGGAGAGGCTGAGATTTACCCTGAGGGTAAAGATGGAGAGGCAGTGTGGGTCTACTGTGATATGGAGACTGATGGAGGAGGCTGGACAGTAGGTTTGACTATGCAGCTTTGCTTAATAGTTAGTTTAAGAATAGTGTTGTATTCTTTACCAGCTTGTATGTTTCAATTACAAAGGTATGTAAAAAAGTGTGTGTGTTTTTTTCGCTAGGTATTCCAGAGGAGAGTCGATGGATCTACTGATTTCTTCAGAGAATGGAAAGATTATAGCAAAGGCTTTGGAGAGATGAGTGCAGGATTTTGGCTTGGTAAGCTGTCAGGCTTATGTTGTATCATCTTCCTCTCTTAGCTTTTCTAACCATCTTTGTCCTATTTCAGGAAATGACATCCTTCATGCTCTGACTAGCATGGAACCAATGAGCCTGCGCATCGATTTGCGTTTAGGAAATGACACGGCCTACGCTCACTACTCCAACTTCTCTGTGGGATCGGAGGTGAATTACTACACCATTGAACTGTCTGGATACTCTGGCACAGCTGGTAAGAAGAGTGTTGAGAATAGGATATACACATGAAAGAGGTGGGTTGTAGTGTAATTTATTGTTTGTGTCTGTTTGCAGGGGATTCAATGAGATACCACAATGGTTGTCCTTTCTCAACTAAGGACAAGGGACCCAGCACTAACAGTGTCTATTGTGCAAATAACTACATGGGAGGCTGGTGGTACAAGAACTGCTACAAAGCAAATCTCAATGGTGTCTATGCAACCTTCATGAAGGACCAGGTATAAACCAGAAATCCTGATTTAATCCGAGTCATGTGCTTAGCATAACAATATATTTGACAACAAGTTTCAAATTAATTACTCTACATAAATTGAGTAACAGTCATAATATTGACTACTGTACAGTATAAGCAGGAGACATGAAATTATTTCATATTATCAATATAATTTATTCTGTTTTTTCAAGAGCTAGTGTTTAATATAGCAGTTACATACTGTATCAGTGTTTTCAATAATCAATGAATCTGTGTTCTCAATAATATTAAACTTATTTAGTTTTAGAAATAACTTTAAATGCATTCTAATTTGATGCTAGCGCTTTATGTTACACATCAAACTGTAAAATATTAAGAAATTTTAGTTGTGTCTATAAGAATGTACAGTGCTGTAAAATGTTTCCAAAAACAACTAAGAAAGTTGTATAGCATCAAGAATTCTAATGTAATAGTAATGTTTAGTTAATGTAATAATTGCAGGATATTAGCAGTTAATAACATAAAATTGTTCCTAAAATACTTAAAGTGCTAAACAAAATGTATACATTTGTAAGAGTTGCATAAGATCTGCATTTTATATTAGTTGTTACCAAATAAAATAGTGTTGAATAAAATACACCATATACCAGGTGAATCTAAACCTCTGAATAAAAGTCTGCTTTATTTTATTATAAGTTAAACATATGATTATGAAACTCTTTAAAAAATACACATTAGTAGTCCAAGGGAAAAGGAGTTTGGTTCAATGCGGACCATGAGTGCATGTTATCTGTCTACAGTCAGTCAATCAAACTGAGGTTTTGTTTGAGAGAGAATCCTCATTTATCACCCAACTTCACAAGCTCATTAGACTTTCAAGGGCTTCCTTTAGCTGTTTTTGTTTTAAAGACACACTCCATCCTTTAATTTTCTTTCACTTACTATACGATGCATTAGTGCACAATAATTTCAAATCAGGTTACTAATAAATTCCATACTACCTGTTAATGCAACTTCATATTAATTCCATATTTGTGTTAAATTCTGGTTAATGGTGCCTAGAAAGGGTTTATGCTCAATTAGCGCCATAAAATGCAATGTCTATAATATGTGGTTAACCCGTGAGAAATGGCAGGTGTGTTTGCGGTTAAGAAAAAAAACTGACTGTGTATTCACTGTGTATAATGTGTATTTATCAGGGGGTGGTGTGGATTGACTGGAAGGGCAAGGACATCTCCCTCTCGTTTACTGAGATGAAGCTGCGGCCTGCCTCGCTGAGTCACGTGACCCCGAACACCCAAGGCTAGAACATCTAGTGAAGAGCAGCCGCTGTATGCAGATACACTGTACAACCTTCAACACTTCACATTCTACACCCACACTGTACATAACTTTAGGCAACATATATCTACTTTTTTGCAGTTATTATGCCCCATACTGTGACAAAGTTCATAAATATCTAATATTATATAAATAATCAATCATCTATTGAACATAATTTTTTAAAATACTTTGTTTCAACTGGGTTTGTCTGCAGGACACATATTATGTGCCACATTATCTACTTTCATATGACTGTATAGTAAGGACTATGTGCTATGAAAACATTCAGAGTGTTCTTTACACTGTTCCTGACTCACACCGCTACTGAAATGAATGCACTGTTACATTTTGTTGGATGTAAAGGTTACAGACTATCATTCTCTTCTGTTTCATTTTTTATAAAGAGGTTTTGTAGAAATACCAAATAAATTGCAAATGTCAGCAAAATGGGATCATGAAGGGATTTTTTTTTGTCCAATACCAAAACATACACTAAAATGCTATAAATGCTATAAATGTACAATATTTCTTTTACAGAAACAAAAAACTTTTTTACTGTAAATGATTGGGTGGATAGAGCAATGCAACGGTTTGCAGTAATATACCTGAAAATGCAATGCATATTGGGATATCTAATATTTTAAGCAGGAGTGAGAATGATTCTCTTTGTGTAAACATCTGCAAATTAGTGGATCATTTTTGTGCCCTTTATTTTAGTGAATATTTTAGGCAAACACAAAGTTTATATGCTAGTTGGTTTAGTAAAACACTGAAATTTGGCTTTTAGGAAAAGGTAATTCAGCAGTAGAAGTGGTTGAATCAGTGGACGCTCATTGAGGGAAGTGGTGGCTCAGTGGTTAGGCTTTTGAGCTACAGCTTCAGAGGTCATAAGTTCAACTCCTAGCAATACCAAACTGCCATGGTCCTTGAGCAAGACCCTTAACCTTCAACTGCTTGGTTATATAGTGTCTCAGTTGTGATTTATTTTATATAGTATATTTCAGTTTATGCTGTAATTTTTATTTTTACAAGTATTTACAATAAATGCACTCTGCTGGCAGTATATTATTGTAAAGTCATCTATATTATATTACTGGAAACATACAGTTATATACTGTAAAAAATAACATAATTACATGTAAACGTATCACAGTACTTTGCTATTAATTACGATTTGCAGCAATTGTTTACCGTATTTTTACAGTACTTTACTGGCAACTCTGGTGCCTATAAATAACTGTAAATTTAACAGTAATTTTACATATATATGTTGATAAATATATTTGAAAAGTACAGCATGAACTAAGGCAGATGAAATCCTCACAGAGGCACTATGTGTTCCTTCAGCTGAACAAAGAAGCCATTTTCAATACAGCAGTTTACTAAAATGCCACTTTGGCCAGTCGGGTTTAACTGCAGTGGTTTAAAGCTTGGCTTTTGGTTTGGCTATAAAAAAGAATCCGCATCCACACTGCACACCTTTGATTCAATTTTTCAGACTGAGAACTAGCTGCACTGTATTAATTATATATACGCTGAATTACTGTTTCATTTCATATGAATGGCTTCCTTTTCTTTGCCAGGACCTCCTGGGGTAATATGTCAGGATGATGTTTGGCTGTTAATATTATACATGAATATGCACAAAAACCCAGTGTACCCTTTTTCAGACTCCACTATTCATTCATAGACTGCAAGCACTAAATGTGAGTACACTGTGATAGGCCTCATTTAACATGTAGCTTAGTAGATTTCAAATGAATGTAGTAAATATAATTACCCACATGAATCAGATAACACAGAGAGTCATTCATTTCCTTTACTTTGCGTGACACTGAGCTGAAGGTCAAACCAATATTTACCCATCCTTGATTTAAGAAAGGATGGACAGAAAGCGCTGATTGGTGTGAAAGATGGAGGAGAGAAATGATTAAAGGAGCAGAGTATTTTAGACCGCAGACACAAAGACGCTAAGAAGCCACTCCATGTATTCAATAGCAGTAAGTGTAGGAGCAGCCGTATTGCTGTTTATTCTCTTGGTTTTAGTCTGCCATCTTGTAAGGCAGCGAAATCTACAAAGTAATGAAGATGTCAAAAGAAGCATTCAGTCTAAAGGTAAGGATATTCCTTAGTTAAATGCGAGTAGATTTTGCAGGTCATATGTGTTTGGTGTTATATGACTGGGAGTAAGGTAAAAGAGGGTGCAAGCTACAACATGCAGTGAGTCACTTGAAAGTTAAAAGTAAAACAAATGCTACAAATGTACAGATGAACTATGTTTTGTTCAGAGTCTCATTTACAGTAGGACCCTTTTAAAACAGATTACATGTGCTCTCTGAAGAATGAAATAAATGCAAACTTAAAGAATTTATTTATTCATTATGCTACACTATATGGCCAAACGTTTGTGGACATGTGACTATAACGCTTATATGTGTTTCTTTGAAAATCCTGTTCCAGATTTAGTCTCTCCTTTGCTGTTATAATAACCTCTACTCTTCTGGGAAGGCTTTCCACTAGAATTTGGAACAGTCCATGTCACTTTGTCACTTTGTGCACAGGGGCATTGTCATGCTGGAACAGGTTTGGGCCTCTTAGTTCCACTGAAGGGAAATCTTAATGCTACAGCATACGAAGACATCCTATTCAACTGTGTGCTTCCAACATTGTTGCAACAGTTTGGGGAAGTACCACATATGGGTGTGATGGTCAGGTGTCCACAAACTTTGCCATATAGTGTACATGCACCATGAGATAAGATATGAAATTTAAACATTTACGTCCATCCACCAAAGTTAAGCAGCATCTACTGAGAAAAAACATAAGGTTTCTCTGTAAAAAAATAATAATAATAAAATAAAAATTGTAATGATCTAAATGCATGTCTATTCAGGTCATCACGTGATTGTTGTACATGATGGCCACCGAAGACAATCAAAATAAATGCATTATTTCAAAAATGTTCAAATACACAAATTGGTGAATAACAAAATAGATATACTTAGTGGCATTCAATTTCTATTTTATATATTTATTGTAACAATGCATACAATATATTTAGTCATAACTTAACACAAGATACAATATAACCAGAACAAGGCTAAATTAACCAATTTAAGTCATGTGCAGCTCTCAGTGAGTTAAGGTCAGTTATTTTAAACTGGTCGAATTCTGTAATAAGCCTTTAGTTTTGGTTTGTTTTTTGTTTATACCCAAAAGACCAAAAGTCAAAAGTCAGTCCAAATCAAATTTACTAATAAAAAAATTGTACATATAGAACAAGCTAGTCCTTGGATTTAGTCAGTTTTTCAGTAGATCTAAATGCAAATATGGATGTAATAAACCTTAGAATTGCATTTAATATCTTCTTCATGAATATTTATAAAGTTTAGCATCAGGGCCTACCACGCTCAAGTGAACGAAATGTTTGATTTGTAGGTTTCGCTACCCATCACTAACCTAATCTATGATCCTCTAGATTTTCTTGCTTTATCACATAGATAAAGACTTTTTTTACACCTTAATCAATAGATCAAATTACCATCAGCTTAGGGAATGTGTACCATAAACAATGTATACAATTAATAGCACTTAATATCAAGAGGTCAGACCACATTACATTTTTTATGATATAACAAGCATTGTAACAGTATTTCATCTTTCCTTTCTCTAGCCACTGCGTCCAAACCTCTGCATTGCCTCTCTCTTCTTTTCCCTCGTTCCCTTGCTCCCTCACTCCCTGGACCTCCCCCTCTTCCCTTCCTGGGAAACATGTTCGAGCTTAGCCAAGATCATTTGCCCATATACCTGACTGGACTGGCTCGTCAATATGGGAATATCTATCGTCTCCGCTGTGGAAGCACCAGTGAATAATTTCTTAACTTTCACAATTTCAGCTTTAAAGCTTTAAAACTACCTGTAAGAATACAAAACTGACATTTAAAATGTGCTGGTTATAATTTTTTGCTGTATCTTTTGTGCAGCGATGGTGATTCTGAACAGTAGTGAGGTTATTCGTGAGGCTCTGGTCAAAAAGTGGTCTGACTTTGCAGGAAGACCACATTCATACACAGGTAAGGTCTTATATACGAGGTCTTATATATGTATAAATGCATATAATAATAAATGCATATATAATTTCTGCTCTTTCTATATCATCTACCTCTTTATCTGCTCTTCATTTAGCTGACAAAGTGTCAGGTGGGGGCTACTCCATCTCTCTGGGTGATTACAGCGAGGAGTGGAGGTCCCACAGGCGTCTGGCCCATAGTGCTTTGCAGCGTTGTGTTGCTGAGTCTCTTCACTGTCTGATAGAAAAGCAAGCACTATACCTCAAACAGGTACACAATGCATACAGGTTTGTGTGGATTTAAAGTACATTCAGACAGTAGAGTACAGTATCAGATTTTTCTTTTGTTTGGGGTTGAATTTGTGTATGAACTCATAAATCAAAATCATAAATGAATGAATGAATGAACAGCAGCAGCAACAACATCATCATCAACAATAACAACAACAACAAAATAATAAGAATAAGAATAAGAATAATAAACTTTATCTATATAGCACATTTCATTTTAGTCTTTACAGTGTGGAATAAAAAGCAGAGAAATATAGAAACAAAAGCTAGTCAAAACTAAAACAGTAAAATTAGGTAAATAATAGTAACCCTCGAATAAAATAATGATAAATACAAATAATTATACAATAATTAAAATAGTATAAAAGTAATGTAAAAGTAATGTGTCAGTAAAAGTAAGGCAATTATTAAAAGCTAGTTAATAGCTGAAGAGAAAAAACATTTTTAGCTCTTTTTTTTTAATCAGTGATAGATGAAGCCTGACACAGCCTGTTTAATGGTAACATGTTTAATAGTAACATGTTCTAGATCTTTGGTGCATAAAAGCAAAATGCGGCTTCACCACTCTGTGCAAGGTTCAAACATGGAATATGGAGAAGGCTAGCACTAGATGATCTTAAATCATGATTTGGAACCTAGTTTATCAGGCAGTCAGAGCTGTCTGAAGGTGCAGAACCATTAAGAGATTTAAAAACTAGTAATAAAATTTGATAATTAATTCGAAAGGAAACCGGAGGTCAGTGGAGTGGTTTAATATGATCTCATTATCTAGTGTGTAATATTCATAATGCTGCATTTTGCACAGGTTGTAGTTTGTTTGTTTGTAGTCAGGGCCATTTCTGAACACTTGTGGGCCTTCCCCTAAGTGACAACTTACTCACTTACACCAATCATATTATTTTATATGCACAAATAAAGAGAATTAATACTTCATTATCTTGGAGAAAGGAAAAACAGGTTTATAAACAATAAAATAAAAACAACTGAACAAATAGTAACGAGCTAGCAACTTGTCTTAGCCTCACACTCCTTACTCTAAATACTAGCAAGCTAGTTAGCCACTAACTTTTTTTCCATTTCAATTACATCAACATGCTGAAGCAAGGAAGCAGACAAACTGACTAAATCCAATTAATTTGCACAGCTATCTTACCAGTTTTCTCCTCTTCTGCTTTTTTCTTTTTGCATTTTTCCACCCCAGACAGATATGAATGCTTCATGATCACCGCTTCTGTGTGATCTTCTGACATTAGTTATGTTAGTTACCTATTTTAGTTACATAAAATTCACCAAATAATGTAAAGTGTGTGATTTTTTTTTTTTTTTTTTTTGGCATATTTATTTTAAAAATTGGCACTTACACCACTTGTGGGGGGAAAAAAAGGCCTTGGTTGTAGTTGTAGGTAGTCATATGAGCAATTACATTACTTCTTCCCCAAATAATGAATCCAGTTTTCCACTCTTTAACAGGTGTTACTGGACTATAAAGAGAAGCCCGTGGACCTGTCTGAAGACTTCACTGTAGCAACCAGTAACATCATTACAATGCTAG